TTACAACAGGAGTATCGTTTCCGTATTCTCTAGCCTCACGTCTGCTTCCTTAATCTTCAATTCCTCCAGGTTGTTCACTCTTAAAATCCTGCACTATCCTTCGCTACCCTACACTACCCTACACTGCCCTATTCTACTGCACACTACCCTGCAGTACCCTAGGCTAATGTACACTAACCTACATTACACTACACTACTGCACACTACCCTGCAATATCCTATATGCTACTGTACACTTCCCTACGTTACATTACACTACTGTACACTACCCTACACTGCCTTATACTACTGCACACTACCCTGCAATATCCTATGCTACTGTAAACTTCCCTACACTGCCTTATACTACTGCACACTACCCTGCAATATCCTATGCTACTGTACACTTCCCTACATTACATTACACTACTGTACACTACCCTACACTGCCTTATACTACTGCACACTACCCTGCAATATCCTATGCTACTGTACACTTCCCTACACTGTATTTTACTACTGCACACTACCCTGCAATATTCTATGCTACTGTACACTTCCCTACATTACATTACACTACTGTACACTACCCTACACTGCCTTATACTAGTGCACACTACCCTGCAATATCCTATGCTACTGTACACTTCCCTACACTGTATTTTACTACTGCACACTACCCTGCAATATCCTATGCTACTGTACACTTCCCTACACTGTATTTTACTACTGCACACTACCCTGCAATATCCTATGCTACTGTACACTTCCCTACATTACATTACACTACTGTACACTACCCTACACTGCCTTATACTAGTGCACACTACCCTGCAATATCTTATGCTACTGTATACTTCCCTACACTGTATTTTACTACTGCACACTACCCTGCAATATCCTATGCTACTGTACACTTCCCTACATTACATTACACTACTGTACACTACCCTACACTGCCTTATACTAGTGCACACTACCCTGCAATATCCTATGCTACTGTACACTTCCCTACACTGTATTTTACTACTGCACACTACCCTGCAATATCCTATGCTACTGTACACTTCCCTACATTACATTACACTACTGTACACTACCCTACACTGCCTTATACTAGTGCACACTACCCTGCAATATCCTATGCTACTGTACACTTCCCTACATTACATTACACTACTGTACACTACCCTGCATTACACTACACTACTGTTCACTACCCTACACTGCCGTATACTACTGCACACTACCCTGAAATACCCTATGCTACTGTACACTACCCTACATTGTCTTATGCTACTGGATACTTCCCTACATTACCCTACCCATCGTACCGTGCTTTAAATCGGCATGTAAATCAACTGGAAAATGTAATTCGCCTTAGAAATAATGAAAACGCCGGTCATTTGCGATGCTCGCGGAACGCAATCGTCGATGAATAATGTATTGTTCCCTGAAAAATGCAACGATTTCGCGAGATTTTCCGGCGGGTCCTCGGCAAATTGGCGGGTTTCGGTTAGTAGGGTAGGCCGAAAAAAAAAAAGGCGAGCGTAAAATTCGATTTCGTCGACGGGCGACGCGTGCAAAGCGAAACGCGTCGCGGCGGTACATATCGATTGGGGGGTGGAAAACTGCGCCCCCGTGGCCGAAACTTTGAGGCAACAAAAGCGGAGCCGGGCATGGAATAGAGCCGGCTGGCAGTAGGTGGAGTATCGCCAGAGCGGGCCGCTGTCGCAGCGGGTTAGAGAAAGTTTTCGGAAAAGCGAAAAGCCGGGGCGGAAAAAGCGAAAGGGGTCCGGTGTGTGCCTGCAGGTCTGAGGAACGTTCAACCGCTGGGCGTCGCCTGAACACTAATGCAGAATAGCCTTTCGAGATATATTAGACGTATTGTAGTGTTAAAGTGTTTTTCCATTTAGCTAGATACTAAACTAGTCAAAGATGGGTGGTTGTGCGTCAAAGGATAATAAAAAAGAGATTCAGGAGGATACAGGGTTCGTAAATAATACTCCTGTTGATGTTTGCATGGGTCAATAGCACGATACGGGGTGCGCCTGGATGTGTGTCAATTCGCTTTTGTAATTTTTTCTTTTATTGTTTTTTTTTCTTCTTCTTCTTCGTTGTTTCCGTTTATTTCATTTGTATTTTTTGGAATTTATTTTTATACGTTCGCTATGTTTGTTATCATTTTACGCTTGTCTTGATTAATTTAGCCGGCATTTTGGCACATGCAAAATGCCGGCTCTAGACAAGGCCAAAGGGTACTTGAACCTTTGTGTCCTCTATTTCAAAGGGCGTGTTTCCCTTTCGTATTCACCTATTCTCATCACGAAATTTGTCAAATTATTTCAGATTGACAACGAATTTTTTTGGTAAAATTTTCGAATGTTTCGTATTCGAAAAATGATAACAAAACCGCGTTGAAAGAAATTAAATATCTACGAATAAATTTGATCGAATCCTCATCGTTTTAATTACTATATCTCCCTATAAATAAACTTATATTTTTTATGTGACGCACATGTTTTGTACATTTTAAAATAAACTTTTTGTATCTATAAATTGATATACATAGATATGAAATTCAGTTCATTTTCTTTCTATTTTCTACCCATAATGGCTACCAAAATTTTAAAAATACGTACAGTTTTTAATCACTACATAAGTATTTTCAAATAAATAAAATATTCTACTTCAATATTTCTGTACTTGTATTACCTACTAAGCAAATTGATTATTCGAAGTAGATCGCAATTTTCACCCTTCAATTGCTATTTTCAAAAAAGGAACAACATAATTTTATAAATCGGCGGTTTATTATTATTTCGAATAATCCTGTTCCATTATGCTTAGAATAAAAAATAGACTAGTCTCCTGTAGTTTTGTAGATATCCTTTCCCGTTTTTGTTGTGAAGCATTCCAAACTCATTGCACACGATCTCCATCAGAAACACGACAAAACACAATTAATCTATCTATTTATAATAAAGTGTTCCTGATTCAAATCGTCGGTAATGTCCCAGTCCATAATTGTTAAAAACTATTTTTCTAGTGTTTGTATTCACAAATCGATTGTCCGTTAATCCAAAAAAAAATCATTAATTAATTGACTAACAAACCATTCTTTACTAACGAAATTGCTTTGATTGTGCCCCAATATCAGTGAATTTAAAGGAAATTTGACACTCGAAAAATAAGTTAAGTGGATGTTTCGATGTGAATTATAGCTGGAAAAAGGCAAAATTATGTTGCTCTTCGGAAAAAGCATTAATCACTTTCTACAATTAGCTGGTTGAATAAATAAGAAGAGTGACAAAACGATGTCTTGATGATATGTTTTTACGAATTTGCTATAACATATTCTGGGTTTCCCATAGCTACCTTGTCGATAATGAAATTATCTATCTTGATCCCAGTAGATTGGAAACTAGATACCATAGAAAAAGGCACATCAAAAGGTAACTTGATGATCGATGTGCGACTGTTGTGAAAAATGTACATGCACGTGAGGAGTCGCGCGAGCTAGTGACTCACGTGAATGTTCACTATTAGATGTTTCTTTTATGGAAAAAAAAGAATGATGTACCCTTTTTTCTTTTAGGTAGACGTCATCAGTCTTGATCATTTTCACCATCACATATTCACATTTTGAACTCATTATTGGAGTAATTTCTTCCAAATGTAGTTTATTAAGCTTAGTTTATAGCCCAGTTTGATTTAATGAAGAAAAATGAATTATAAAAAAACTAATTTATTTAATATTTTCTGGGCTATGGCTAGCGAACTATTTAACTCTTTAAACAACTCTATCGCTTTTTATAAATGTTTACTGCATGAGTTATGTATCAATCTACAACTCTTCAACATTTCATTATTCTCTCATCTCATTCATGCCATCCATATTTCTAGCTTTTTGGAACAATCTGTAACGTAGCAAATGAATTAATTTGCGAATTTTAATTAAAAGAAAATATATATAAAGCGGATTAATATTCCGAAATATTTCCTCTCGACGAGGCTCCAGTAATTTTCATTCCTTTCAGCCTAATTAAATCTCGTTTTTCGTTCTCGATGTCTGAATACAAGTACGAGTATTACACGTTGCAGTAACTAAATACCTAAATATTTTAGAGCAGAACAATCAATAAACGTCATAATGGTTAATTAATAATTCAAGCATAGAGGAGCAATAGATATGAAAAATAAAGTTGTGTTTAAATCGATAAATTGATTGCTAAATTGGTTACTTCAGGAACGTAATATACACGTAAAAATAATAGTTTCTATCATTATTATTTTACAATAGAAATACCATATTGATCCAAAAAAAATATGAATTTTTTGTTATTAATTTCAATAGGCTCCTGAAATTTCTTGTGCGATATAATTACAGGTTGTTTCAGATAAATTTCAATGTATTCAACTTCATTTTCCACCAGTATTTCGATGTATTCTGTTTCTTCTATTTATTTTACAAAACGTTAGTCATTTCGATATTAAGTTGTAACACAGGAGAGTAGATGGTTGAATTTTTGGCATCTACGTATTCCAAATAATTTACTAAAAATAAGCGAAGCTTCGTAGTGGAAATGTTATGTCAGCCAAAAAGTTTCTGAGAACATTAAAACCAATTTATTATCATCAATTGTTTCAACATACATTCATTATGCGATATATTTTTATTTAGAACAAATTTTCGAAGATATATCCAGGTGACTAGCATCCTTTAAATATTTTAGGTGTTTATGTATTTTATTCTGAAAATACCCTTGGAATTGGTCAAATGAAATTAAACGAAATTTTTCACTAAAAGCTTTAGCATACAACATGCTTCTCCATCTTGCTTTAAGGGTAAATGTCATAAATGTTATAAAAATACAGCAAAATAAAATTACTGAAACGTAATTTTACTCTGCTCTATTATGTAGTTAATCAGTCGGGTGAACTGATAACTTCAAACAATGTGCTGTTTACAATCGTATGAAAAATTGATAATGAAAACGCCCTTTGTTTCACCCTTGCAGAAGAGCCACCATGGTAGACGCCGCCGTTTTGGACAAACTTGAAACCGGTTTCAAGAAAATCAAGGACTCCGACTCCAAATCGCTGCTGAAGAAGCACCTCACCCAGGAGATCTTCGACAACTTGAAGACCAAGAAGACCCCCACTTTCGGCTCGACTCTTCTTGATGTCATCCAATCCGGTACGAATTATACCATCTCAAGCACTCAAGCACTCAAGCGGATTGTTGTTAACGCTTTAATAATTTACAGGCTTGGAGAACCACGACTCCGGCGTAGGAATCTACGCCCCCGACGCTGAATCGTACACCGTATTCGCGGACATCTTCGATCCCATCATCGAGGACTACCACGGCGGCTTCAAGAAGACCGACAAGCACCCGCCCAAGAACTGGGGCGACGTCAGCGTCTTCGGCGATCTCGACCCCACCGGCGAATACGTCGTCTCCACCCGCGTCAGATGCGGCCGCTCCCTCGAGGGATACCCCTTCAACCCCTGCTTGACCGAGGACCAGTACAAGGAGATGGAGCAGAAGGTGTCCAGCACCCTCTCCGGGCTCGAAGGTACCTCCTATCCGTTCGATTCCTTCCAAATCTAACTCCGTACGTTCGCAGGTGAACTCAAGGGGACCTTCTACCCGTTGACCGGAATGAGCAAGGACGTGCAGCAGAAGCTCATCGACGATCACTTCCTGTTCAAGGAGGGCGATCGCTTCCTGCAGGCCGCCAACGCTTGCCGCTTCTGGCCCACCGGTCGCGGTATATTCCACAACGACGCCAAGACCTTCTTGGTGTGGTGCAACGAGGAGGACCACCTTCGCATCATCTCCATGCAGATGGGTGGCGATCTGGGAGCCGTCTTCAGACGATTGGTAACCGCCGTCAACGACATCGAAAAGAGACTTCCGTTCTCCCACAACGACAGGCTCGGTTTCCTGACCTTCTGCCCGACCAACTTGGGTACCACTGTCCGCGCTTCGGTCCATATCAAGGTACGAAATAGAGGCTGTTTGGAGGCGGTTTGTGTGAGTAAATAATGGCTGTTTCAGGTGCCCAAGTTGGCTGCCAACAAGGCCAAGCTGGAGGAGGTCGCTGCCAAGTACAACTTGCAGGTGCGCGGTACTCGCGGTGAACACACCGAGGCCGAAGGCGGTGTCTACGACATCTCCAACAAGAGACGCATGGGTCTCACGGAGTTCGATGCCGTTAAGGAGATGTACGACGGCATCCAAGAAATCATTAAGATTGAAAAAGAATTGTAAACGTTACAAACCCCTATATATTACATTCGTCACCATTCGTGATTTTAAAAATATATATGTAAGCGATGGTATATAAATATATATGTACATGTATGTATTTTACATTAAGTATCTCGTTTGCCAAAAGGTATTATCGCAGATAATTGCTTTCAAAAACGCTCTGTTTGTAATTTTTAAGTTGTTGAGATAATGTCAAGTCTGAAACCCAGCTTCATTCTAGTCGACATTTTGTTTTCAAATTTGATTTTATTTATACAAATGATGTCAAACATTGAACGATGTTACTGTATTATTTATAATTTATTTTTATTGTAATTCTGACAAATAAAAGTATTGTTTGGAAAACACCATTTACTTGTTTCATTCGACAAACACTTTGAAACTATAAACCCCCAAATAAGTAATATTAGAGCGTTATAAAATGTAAATTTTAAATAAAAAATTTACTATACAAATGGTCAGTGTACCTACCAGTGTTATTTAAGAATTTAAGACACAATTTGAAACAGTATATGATATTATATTCCACATTTATCTCAAAATCGAGAAACTAATGCAGACTTTATAAAAAATATTCTTTTTTTATTTTTTTTATAATCAAGATTGCAATGGAATGTTCATAAGATTAGCCTAATGTGCTTGATAAATAATCAAGTATATCAAGCACCATAAAAGAGGCGAAAAATATAAAAAAATTAATTTTCACAGTATAGAAGTTTAAAATGTACTACTACTGCTACCTGGTCAATAACCAGTATACTCACTCTACTCAAAAAGATCTATTGTTTCAAATGATCAATTCTTAAATCTTACATTACTAAAAAAATCACATTAAAACAATTTTGTTGAATTTTACAATATTTTTTTAAACCCACACAAAACATCTACTGACATATGACAATACAGTTACACTGATTTCTAGCGTATCCTGAGATTAAATTGGCAGCACTGCCTATAACTTTGTGTTCCATGAACTAATAATTGACGTTTGTCAAACTGACGCGAAGTTAGGAATGATTCAATGATTCAATCATTTGATAGGTTATGAAAATACATTTTTATTTATTTTTTAATTTCCTTTTCAAAATAACTAATCATAGAGAAAACGTTTGCGGGCAACGTGAACCGGCAAACAACGACAATAAAAAATAGTGTTAGAATAATTTCGAGCAGGTAATTTGAACTGTAAATTGTTGACGTGTTATTGTAAATATAAATTTATTCCAGTCAAAATAATCCCTTTGTCAACAAGTTTTCGGTTGTATTGAGCCATTACATTTTTTTAATTCATAAATTATATAATAAGTCTTTGAAAAATTAATTTAATTTCTATTTGACCGGGTTCGAATATTACTTCGTTTGTACGAGAAGTTACATTGCTTAATAGCATGCAAATTTATATAAATTATTTCTTGTTACAGATCTTGCGATGGGTATCATATTCGGTAAGAAGAAAAAGCCAACCAGAGTGACGGAACAGGATAAAGCAGTTTTGCAATTAAAGCAGCAACGTGATAAAGTAAAACAATACCAAAGGAGAATAGAACAGTCGCTCACTAAAGACAGAGAATTAGCTAAGAAATTACTGAACAATGGCCAAAAGGAGCGAGCCAAATTGCTCCTTAAGAAGAAAAGATACCAGGAGCAGCTTCTGTCGAAGCTCGATAATCAGCTGAACAATCTAGAAAACTTGGCTAGTGACATAGAATTCGCCCAAGTGGAAACACAAGTAGTCGAAGGGCTTAAAACGGGTAACGAGGCGCTCAAAACCATCAACGCTTCGCTTAATATCGAGGATATCGAAAGGATGCTGGACGAAACGAGGGAAGGAGTGGAGAAACAAAACGAAATCAACGAATTACTTAGCGGCCAACTGACAGACGAAGACGAAGCGGCTGTTGAAGAGGAATTGGCTGCAATGGTTAGTGAAGAAATGCCTTCAGTGCCTACAGAACAGCCCGAAGTACAAGTTAACGAAACTGCCAAAGATGAAGAAACTGAGGAGGAAGAGGAAGAGAAGGAGTCTGTTAAGAAACCAAAAGCCAAGGAAAAAGAGAAGGTTCCTGTTTTAGCGTAAGCCTCTAATTATTTCGGTTACTTAATATAAAATAAGCTTCTCAACATTCATATTTCAAAAATTTAAGGGAGTAAAATAAGATTTTTTTGTTTGCATATTATGCACCGAAACTTATTTCTTTACTACTGAAATTAGATTGTAAATTATCTTTGACGAAAAACTTGTTCACAATCCATACGTGCCGTGATATATTTTTTTGTTATTAATTAGATAGTTTATTTCTAACACGCCATTCTAAATGGTTTCTTTGTAAGAGCAAGGTTCGTTTTAAAATAATAGACTGTAATTTTATAAAAGCAATAAGTACAAGTGTTGTACCACGAAATTGTTGCAGAAGTATTTTCTTGAGATTTCTTTGCTCTTTGTGTAAATAAATTTTTAAATTTAAGTAGTTTAAATCATTTTTTGCGAGTTATTGAGGAACTAGAAGCTTAGAAGTACATACAGATAAGTGCAAATTTGTTTGCTATATGAGTTGAACAAAGATATTAAAATAACAGTGGTGAGTGTAAGAGTGAAAAAGTTGCAATTACGATCATATCACGTTTTCCTTTTCCTTTACATGAGGTTAATGCAAGTTTTCTTTGTTGCACCAATAGATCATATTGCGTACAAATTTGCACTTATCTGTATAAAAGGTGGATGCAAATTTCGTCAATGTAAATTGAACAAGATCTTTTATATTTTTTATGCCAATATTTATCAAGCGATTGTGCGAGTTAAGAACATTATTCAAATAAAAAACAATATTTGTAAAATCTTTATTGTGCTATCACCAATTTCTTCAAATACAATGACATAAAAAAACAAAATTCAACCTTATTGGTAATTAGCGATTAATAAAAAATACGTATTTAATGGTTTAATTAAATTATATACAAGGTGAATTGCCAAAAAAGTACTTAAATAAATATACATGGTATTTATTTTTGCCCTGCTAAATTTTTCGAAAGTATACACCCTGTTTTCATCACCAAAACATCAGAAATCACAAAAAGGTGTAAAAATAGAGCAATTTTTATTAAAAAAATTAACGACTACATTGGAATTTTTTTGAAAAAAGTTATTTGAGAACACTCAAATATCCACAATTATTAAACAACATCAAATTTCACAATAATTACAATTCAGTCTTGTCTGCTTTGGGAGACCCGCTTCTGTCATAACCTTTCAGTTCGTTCGTGGAGTGTTTAGCGATGTATTTAATGAAATCGTCCACCTCTCGGCCACCCTAGAATAAAAAAAAACAATTAATCAAAAACGTCTACATTTTTTTTATAAAAAAAAAATTACCTCGTATTTGATAGGAGAGTCCTTGGAGTCCTTAGGTACCCAGAAGAGCGTCGGGAACCCGCGTACTTCGTAAGTAGACGGGACATCATTAGCTGTAGCATCCATCTTAACAATAGCCACGTCTTCGTCTTTGAGCTGCGATAAATCAAACGCGATTAAATCGACGAAACATTCGCAATGGGTTTAAAAAAGCATTCACCTTCTCGGCGAGCTCTTCGAAGGCGGGCGCCAGTTTCTTGCAATGTCCGCACCAAGGCGCGTAGAATTCGATCAGCACGTCCTTGCCGTTGTCGACGACGACCTCGTCGAAGTTCTTCGCCACTGCGACCTTCAGCGGCTGGTCGTTGGCCTCCGGGACGGGCTCGGACTTGAGGTAGGGCTCGAGGGCGCCGTCCAGCACGTCGTTGACGAACACCTCCAGCGCCTCGACGGAGAACTCCTTCAGCACGAACTTCTGGTTCTTGGCGTCCCGGGCAGAGACGACGGGCTTGTCGCCCTTCACGTAGTCCAAACCGTACTCGTTCAATTCGTGCTGGAACTCGTCGGTCGAGCTCACCGCGAAGTTGGCCTTTCCCACGAATTCCTTGGCGACCTAAAAAAAACATTGGTTTGCCGTTAATGGAGAGGAGTAAAATGGAGGTTTTTACGGCCGGTTGCTCTATTCTGCGATAACTAAAAGTTAACCTTTCAATAACCCGTCCCAGTTCAATTAACTGTTCTCAATAGTAAGCGATAGTTAAAGGCGAAAAGTCGGGAAACCGGGCATTAATCGGATATATGTGAATAGAAATTCATAAGAAAGTCAAAGCAGTTTTCAGTTGCTAAAAATGTTCAATATCGTTCGGTCAATTATCGGCGAAGCATTCCTATGGGATCGTACACAGAGATTTAAAATCGGAGAAGTAAGTTTGTTTGCAATGAAGATGAGTAGGATGTGAGATATACGGTTTTTAATCGGATATATGAATAAGAAATAAGTCGATAGAACTCGAAGCAGTTTTCAGTTGTTGAAAATGTTCAATATTTTAGGAAATATTCTTACGCTTTTTAAATTTAAAATGTTGACAAGTGACGTGTAAAGTCACTAACCAATCACAAAGTTGCATTGTGTCATTAGTGGCATAAGAATTCGAACAAAGTGTTCGTTAGTGTAGAAGAAACGAACAAAAGTGAAATATAACATCAAATGACAGATGACATATCTAAAATTACGTTATTGTAATTTCTTTGTTTTAAGTTAATTGGGGCAAAAATAAACACTTTTTTAGAATACAATAAAGAATTTTCACAAAACGGCATGAAACAAGTTTTAACTACCTTCAAATGCGACATTTTAAAATTGTGTAAGTTGATTTAGTTGTAGGTTATGTTTTCGTTTTTATCATATACCTATTAGTACTAATAGGTATATGGTTTTTATTAATTTGACAAGATTAAAAATCAAAAATATGCGATGTTGCCACATTACCATTTTTACTAAACAATAATTTAGAATTTAAGATATTTTCGTTCTATATTTTTCGAATAAATCATAAATGTATCAAGAAGTACAAAAAATAAATTATAGCATAGACATACAAATAAAGGCTTTTTTTTTCAGAGTAAAAAGATAGTTGGCAACGTCGCTAAAAAAACGATCTTTACCATCAATTCTTAATGTGATTGGTTAATGACTTGTGACGAATTTCAAACTTTAAAAATTAATTGGGGCCTTAATAGGAAACGGAGAAAATTAACAATTTCCACCAATGACTTAATAAGAATACGTAGTTTTATAAAAAAAATAAATAAAAAGTCGTACTGCTCTCCATTTGGTTGCTTAATTGATTTATGTTCAAATCAGTCTTTTTAAATCTATGGGATGACATTCTCAAGTATGTCTTCTCGTATTATGTTCATCGAAAAATGAATTTCTCTGGGATTTGTTTTCGTCTTCACGAGCAAATTTTAAACCGGTAAATAGCAAAGCTAACTAATTCTTCCCGTTTAAAAACCATACCGGTTACATAACGATTCGTTTCGTTTTTTTTTTCTCTAATCGTTAACTGATATAAATATCCCCTTATCGCGACAACTGATAAGCTTATTTGTGCGAGATAAGAAAAATATTGAAATCGCATTGTAATTGATCGCTATTTAAGATAACCGATAATACCTTCAAGATTCTGTTACGCCAGTAATTGGTGCCCTTCGGGTTCTTGACGTAGTCGACGTTGAAGTAGGCCACGAACAATGGAGTTTCGAATTCTTGTCTGTTGTCAGGTTTACGATGTCCAACTAACCCGTGGCTAAATTGAAATAATTCATTATTAACATTAACATTACCGTGCGAAAATCATTCGAAATGGAAAGTAACCGGCTAATTTACGAACCAAATTCCCCGTTATCATAAAGGAATTAGTTTAATCTGACACCTGATACCCTACTGTACTTGTATGTAGCTACTCTACTCTCTTAATTCCTTCATAATAACCTCGCATTTGGCTTTGTAAGTTAGCTAGTTAGTTAACAAATCAACCAAGTTTCTTATATACAGGATGTTAAACAGATTGTTGTCACAAATTGGACGAGAAATTCATTCATAATTGTAACATCATTAAAAATGCCTCAGTGGCGTACCAATATTTTTTTTTTCTTTAAAAAAATGTTTTATTACCCGTATGCGCGTCAATGATGAACATAAAATTTTTAATTTTATGTCAAAAAAATGAGTAATAGTTACCTCTCAAAACCCACCAAATTTCATTTGAATATTTCGTCTGGTTTCAGAGAAATAAATAAATCTTCGGTTTTTAAGAAGAAGCATTTGCGGACATACAGATTGCTCCATTTTTCATTGCAACATAGGCTATCGGAGCAACAAAGACAACTTCAATTAGACACTTATAAAGGAAAAAGAAAGAGTGATATTATGTCATTGCTACTTTTCACTCTGACAACTGTTATTTTAATAATCTTTCTTTGTTCAACTCATAGAAATGTCCATGTTGCAATCGCGAATGAAGGACGCTGTATGTTTATATAGCAAAATATCAATATTTTTTCATGCAGAATCACCCCCTGAAGTTTGTCGCACTTATTAAGTAACACCCTGTATATACTAAAGCCTGAAGCGTCATCCTATTCATTGGCGAGATTTAATCTTTTTGAAATATTTGTTGCCAGAGAGGCGTATAGGAAGATGGAAACGGATCCGCTGATTACGAAAATGACCATCATTTTCACCGGCTAAATTCATTTCGGCTCGCAATCGCGATTTAAAAATACCAATCGTCCGCCATTTTGGAAATTATCCAAGTTGACGTATCGTTTTGTCAATTTTCGTTCTTTTGCGTAGATCCGAATTGTTCCGAACGCATCTCTTGCGGCCTTTTACTACGTCAGCATCCAATACCGAAAGTCCGAAAGGTACGAAAGTCCATTTCAACAAACTTACAAGTTTTTGGTGATGAATTTCTGGATGTCCTCTGCATCAGCACCTCCGGTATATTTCACGCTGTTGTCCTCGAATTTGTTCTGCAAATGTTGCGGTCTGAACAGCACTAAACCGTCCCTGGAAATTCCGTATCGTTAATAAATTAGTCACGTTCGGCAATAACCATTAATCGCTATTAACAGTATCTAAATGAATACTAATTTAATTATTCGCATAGTTCGTTTCGAAACGAACGCGCTCGGGGAAAACTTACTTGACCTTCTGGGCGTCCAAAAGCTCCTTGCGAGTGGTATGGGCGAACTTGACCTTCTCCCTGAGCTTGTCGGCTACTTTGAGGAAAGCGCCTTTCAGATCGGTCTCCTTCTCGAAGAATCCCACCAGCACGGATTCCTTTTCGGCGGCCAGAAGCTTCTTCAGGCATTCGGGGGTTTTCAGTTCGACGGAGCTCGGGCCGACTTGGGCCTTCATGTACTTGACGATACCTGAAGATAGGGCACATTTTACGAAAAGCCGCTCGGGAATAGCGAAAATAAAGCGCTTCGTGGCGCCTTTTAGGTAGATCGATCGAACCAACCTGCTGCTTCTCTGGGTCCATTGTAATCCTGGGAGACTTCGCCGTTTCTGAATATCTTCAACGTGGGGTAGCCGCTTACGCTGTGCTTGTTGCAAGTTTCTTTACCGGCTTCGGTACAGTCGACTTTGATGAGAGCAACGGGGGGGTCGTTTCTCAGTAAATCTTCGGCGGCTTTGGCGTATTCCGGCTTCAGTTTCTTGCAGTGTCCGCACCTGGGGTATAAAACATGCAGGGTGAATAATAAGGCGGTAATAAAGAGGAATTTACGGGCGCTTAGATGAGAAACGGGTACTTACCAGGGTGCGTAAAACATAACAAGAGCGGCGCTATGTTCGTTGATTTTTGCATCGAAATCGCTGTCGCCGAGTTCCAGGACATCTTCCTCTCGCGCGTTGGACGTGCAGAGGATCAACGCAATCGCGAATATGTTTAGAAAAAGCATCTTTTTGTCAAAAAACCGGCTTCTGACTTCACGTACACAACCAGCGCTTCCTATCAATTACAAGAACTGCCGAAAATGACGATATACGTGGCTTTTAAAATGCGCAGGACTGCGTGCTGTCCGCTCGCCATTGGTTGCTATCGCCTCTTCGAGAACGCTGATTGGCCGGTCGGCTAAAATAAAAAAGACGAAAGTAAGAGATGATAGATCTTTTGATTTATTCATCGCAAGGTTGCCAAGTCTACACGAAACCAAAATTAAATTTCAGGATTTTTAAGTTGTTTCAAAATCATAATAAGTTACATTCTCACTTTACTTTCTTACAACAATTATTTTATTTTTTAATATTTAACGATTATTAAATTTTTCGTTACTCTAACAAATTAACATATTTTTATTGGCAACATCGGGAATATTACCTGTAATTAGTTAAACTTCAATCTGTCAGTTCGTGTCACGTGTCCTTTCGTTTGCTGAAAGTGACAGATGTCATCAAATTTTGACGTATATGTATTCTGTATTTGTTAAACAAAAAATAATTAAAATTTAATGAAAAATGAATGAATTAACACTGTATTTTATCAGTTTGGTAACTTTATTAACTAATGTTAGAGGTGACAATGTATTAGGATGCGGAGGGTTCCTCAAAAGCCACGTACCGATCGATTTTTCGAAAGTAGAGGTTAAGTTGTAAGTATTTACTTATGTATTCTAATTGTTCTCTAATTGATATTGATTTAGGATTACGAAGCAAGGTATCGTCAAGGATAAAACCACCGCTGCCCCGAATAATGGGTATTACTTCGTGCCTCTTTATGATAAGGGAGAAATGCTTCTCGAACTGTCTCCTCCCCCAGGATGGAGTTTTGAGCCCAAAAATGTGGCCCTGAACATCGACGGAGAAACCGATTTGTGCAGCCAGGGCAAAGATATAAACTTTATATTCAAAGGATTCGGGATTACGGGAAAAATTGATAGTTTAGGCTCGCAAGCAACCGATGCAGGTCCCGAGGGTGTAACGATAAAATTAGAATCCGACGATGATATTAGAACGACAATCAGTGATAAGGATGGCAACTTTTTCTTCACGCCTGTATATCCGAAGAAATACAAAGTCTCCATTACGCACCCTAAGTAAGAACATCCAATAAAAATTCAGCGATAAATTAAAGCGAATATGTTTCAGATGGAAAATTTTTAAAAATTCTGTAGAAGTAGTTGTTACCGAAGGTAATACAGAGTTACCAAAGAACAGCCTTGTTATACAAGGTTTCGATGTATCGGGTCAAGTTAAGAGCGAAGGTGAATCAGTCAAGGATACAATTGTAGCGCTTTTATCGCCAGAGGTAATCGAATAACCCAATTAATAAAGTCACTTTTACATCTCGATGTTTTAGAAAAAAAGCGTACCTTCAATTCCAAATTGCAGCAAGGAACCGTTGAAAGGCTTGAATGTAAAAGGCAACATCTTGTGCCAAGTAAAAACTGATGAATTCGGTAAATTTACGTTCGAAACTCTCCCCAACGGGCAATATTACGCATTATTATACTACAAAACCCAAAACATTTATTACAAACCTGAGAAGATCGAATTTACTGTTAACAATAAAGACTTGGAATTAAAGGAACATTTCGAGGTAATTCTCTAATTAATTCTAATAAACACATATTCCTGCAAATAATGAGTCAACTTTTCAGATAATCGGATTTAGCATAGCAGGAAAGGTACTGAAACAAAAAGGCGTACCGCTCAAAAACGCCAAAGTGTTCCTAAACGAAGAAGAGATCACCGAAACGGATTCGAACGGGCGGTATACTTTAGAAAAAATAAAAGCCGGGACTTACAAACTCAAAGCAGAATCGGGTAATTACTACCATCGCTGGAACGTTCCAAATTTAATCCGATTCGCTTGCAGAAAACCTGCAATTCGACGAAATCAGCATCCCCATCGATACATCCCTGCCCGAGTTACCGGACATCTTTCCATCGGCGTTTAAAATTTGCGGCAGCGTCACCAGCGATCGTCCCCAGCAAATAAACTTCGTCAAAGTGGGCAGCACGAAGCTACTCCAGACGTTGTCGTCGGCCATCGACGGCACTTTCTGCGAATATTTATCGCCGGGGAAATACGAAGTGCAGGTGATAGTTGGCAGTTCTGATAAAGAGAAAGGTTTACAGTAAGCGACCGAAGCGCCAGATTTTGCTTGTTGTGTTCTTACGTTTCGATTTGTAGGTTTTATCCGTTGGTACAAACGATTGAGGTGAATTCGGAGAGCCTGCCGAACGTTGTGTTTTCCCAGTTGAAATCGACTATTTCTGGAAAAGTGATGTGTTTGGTACCGAAAGACTGCGAGGATCTGACTGTTGCATTAAAAGGCGGAGCTGATAATGAGTTTATAGTTAAAGTTAAAAGTAATGTTAGTGGAAATGACAGCGTGCGTTTTACTAATAATTCGTTTATTCTAGGCGGTTCTTATTCGTTAAGCGATATGTATCCAGGGACTTATGAAATTAGAATATTATCAAGTAAATTTTGTTGGGAAAGCAATGTGCAGAATTTGATAGTTGATAGCGAGATTGTTGAAGCGCCGCCGTTTATTCAAAAAGGGTACACAGTCGTATTCATTTCGTCTCATAATACACAGGTATATTTTTCACGTTCTTTAAATTCTATTACAGGATGTTAATTAATTGAGTGCCGATACTTCAGGATGTGAATATTTGGGTGATTTTAAGAAAAAAAGATCATATCAATATTTATCCTAAACCTCTTAGTTTTCGAGCTACAGGGGGTTACAATTTTAGAAAAAATAAATAACTTTTCTATAATAACTTTCTTATTACTCCAGATATTTTGATGAAATTTAGTACGCACTTTTTAATTATTAAGGAGCATGTTTTAAGGCAAAATATTTTTTAAATATATTTTACGTACGTCATGTCAGTCCGGGGTTTGAACTGAATATGTTTGAAGAAAAAATGGTACTTCACTGCTTTTTCTAAAAACCAAAATTATTTTTAAAATCATCATTTATTTTGAAGGCAATTCGGTCCGAATACTTACTTTCGTACGACGCACCATTTTCTCGCAAAAAAATAAAAACCAAAACAATTTACAATTTACAAAAACAATCCCAAGTTTTTTTTAAACAAATTTCATAAAAATTTCTGGATTAAATGTCCGGTTTCACCAACGACAAGTAAATCTATAAATAGTTTTTTGAAGAATTAGTTTTAACCTCTAGTTAAATATTTTGACGTTTCACCAACACTTTTAATCTTTAGTTAGCTATTTAACAGTTTAAACAAATATTTCTGATAAACGAACCTTTAGAATTCAAATATTTCTAAAAAAAGAAAATTTCGATCTGAATTGTTCAGGTTATTTTTTGTCACTGTGACGTGTGAATTTTGTTATTTTATTCTATTAGAGTTTGAGTTTGAGAGTGATTTTGAAATGGACCGAAAAAGGGAAATAAGCAAAAATTACTTGGAAGGTGAGAAGGGAAATTTAAAAACGATCCATCTTTCTAAAACAATTCGAGGTTAAAACTTTAACTGTCCACATTTCTTTGGTTAATTTAAACGCCAATATAATAGTCGAATAACGCTATTTGTTGTTGGTAAAACAAAATTGTGTATTTTTTTTGAACATTTAAATTTATTCATCAAATAAGGATATCGAATAACGAATATCTTATTTGTCGTTGATGAAACCGGACATAAGAAAATTATGATAGAAAAGTTATTTTTTTTCTAAAATTGTAACACCCTGTAGCTCGAAAACTAAGAGGTTTAGGACATACAGATTGCTCCATTTTTCATTGCAACATAAGCTATAGGTGCAACAAAGACAACTTCAATTAGACACTTATAAAGGAAAAAGAAAGAGTGATATTATGTCATTGCTACTTTTCACTCTGACAACTGTTATTTTAATAATCATTCTTTGTTCCACTCATAGAAATGTCCATGTTGCAATCGCGAATGAAGCACGGTGTATAATAATATAATATGATTTTATATTCGTAATGGACAACTGGTTTTCTCTGTAAAGGAGAAACAACATTTAATGTCCTCACTTACAAATTACGAATTAATACAGCGAAAAAACAAAAATTAACAAATTATAAATTATGTGACAATAGTGACAAAAGATAACAAAAGGTAACAAAGCTAAATAAAAATTCAACAGAACAGAACAAAAGAAAATGAAAACCAATACACTTTGTTTTTACATTAATATAAACTGTTCTTCTTAAAATCACCCGAATATACATTATATCCCGAAGCATCGGCACTCAATTAATCAACACTCTGTATACAATTCGTTTTATAATTTCCAGGTTACCTTCAAACAACCCGGCCAAGACAAACCGACCCTCTTCGACATCGCCAAAGGCCGCTCGAACTTCTGCCTGCAGCAATCCGGCGACTATCTATTCACCATCCAGGGTTGCCACAGTTACCACGAACAGACCGTCCAATACACCACCAACGCCGATGTCAACGAAATAATACTCACGGCCAAGAAGCACTCGCTCAAGCTCGGCATCCAAGCGGACTCCGACTTCGGCGACGTACAAGTTTCGGTGAAAATCGGAACATCGAAAAGCGAGGAGGTACTCAGATATATGAACAATGTGTATGAGCTCGAAATTTCGTTGGAACCGTCCGAAAACGCCGTGCTGGTGCCCCAATCGGATGTGCTCTTCTTCACGCCGCCCATCCTCTCGGTGGAAGGCGGCGACGATTGCGCCGATCTGGGCGCCAAGTTCGTCGCCGTGAAGGGGCAGCTGTTCGAAGGGAAGGTCGTGCCGGCGTTGGCAGGCGTGACGGTGACGGTGGAAAGCGCCGACGCCGAGAAGCTGGTCATGGAGACCGATCGGAACGGCGCGTTCAAATTTCCGCCGTTGGACGGCAGGAAGGGGTACAAAATCAGCGCCGTCAAGGAGTCGTACGTTCTGACGGGGCCGGATCAGGACGGCAACTTTTTGGCGCACAAATTGGCCGAGGTTATTGTCGAAGTTATCGATGCGGACAATAATCCGTTGGCTGTAAGTTGTTTGTTTACTTGAAGTAGTAATCCTTATATAATGGTGTGCGGGCGCACCGGATACACTCTACTATCTACTCTCTACACTCTACACTCTACACTCTACACTCTACACTCTACACTCTACACTCTACTCTCTACACTCTACACTCTTCTCTCTACACTCTACTCTCTGCACTCTACACTCTACTCTCTACACTCTTCTCTCTACACTCTACTCTCTGCACTCTACACTCTACTCTCTACACTTTACTCTCTACACCTTACTCTTTACACTCTACTCTCTACGCTCTACACTCTACTCTCTACGCTCTACACTCTACTCTCTACACCAGAATTGGAAAAAAACCTAAAAATTAAAAAAAATATAAGTAGGTTTTTAGGTTTTTTAGGTTTTTAAGGTTTTTAGTTCATATTGTGTTAAAAACAAAAAATACACACAAAAAAAGAGAAAAAAAGAAAAGATATATGTTTTTTACCTTATCGTTTTGCTATTGCAAAATAAATGATGCTTTATAAAAAAACCCTAAAATTATGAATTCTTATATGTTTTTAGTATTTATCTTAAAAAACCCTAAAATTGCTGAATTTTCACTTTTAGGTTTTTTTAAAAACCTTAAAAACCGAGGTGCAAAAAAACCTGTACCTGCCAACCATACTCTACACTTCACTCTCTACATTCTACTTTCTACACTATTCTCTCTCTACACTTTACTTTCTACACAGTGTTGTTAAGTAATTAATTACAAGTAATTGAAAAAGTAATTGAATTACTTTTATTGTAATTGAGGCGGTAATTAATTACAATATCCTCAATTGTAATTCATTTGTAATTCAATTACTCCTTTCGTTACAATTACATTTTACAATTACGTTTCAATTACATTGGACACAAAAGTAGTTATTTAATATTTTCAATACGTGGAAAGTTTAATTTCGATTGCAAACCACTAAATAATTATTTAAAACTGACACCAAAGCAAAGTAATTGTGAGTGTAATTGTAATTGCAAATGTAACTTTAATTGTAATTGTAATTACATTTGCAAATTTTGTAATTTTAATTGCAATTAATTACAATTTGCCAAAATTAATTGTAATTGTAATTAATTACATATTATAAAGTAATTTTAACATCACTGCTTCTACACTATTCTCTCTCTACACTTTACTTTCTGCACTCTACCTTCTAGACTCTATTCTCTACACTTTACTCTCTACACTTTACTTTCTACACTTTAATCTCTACTTTCTACACTTTAATCTCTACTTTCTACACTTTACCTTCTACACTCTTTCTTCTAGACTCTACTTTCTACCTTCTAGATTCTAGACTCCACTTTCTACATTCCACCTTTTAGATTTTAGACTCTACTTTCTATACTTTACTCTTTACACTTTACTCTCACTCTACACTTAACTTTCTACACTCTACCTTCTAGACTCTACTCTCTACACTTAAATTTCTACACTCTACCTTCTAGACTCTATTCTCTACATTTTATTTTCTACACTCTATTTTCTAGAGTCTACTCTCTACAATCTACACTATACTTTCTCTATTCTTTATTCTCGACTCTTTACTCCCTGCTCTCCGTACTCTACTCTCTACTCTAATCTACACATTGAAATTTTTTAAAAACAATGCCTTGAATTTTCGCTTGTAATTTTTAACACTTGTTCCACGTAAAATTTGTACTTTTCATCGAAAAAAAAAAAAATTTTCACGCCTATTAAAAATGAGAAAATTGGTAAAAATTGTAATATTTGGAGAGGACTTGTAGCGGGTAATCTGTTGGAGAGTAGAATGTAATGAGTAATGTGTAGAGTGTAAAGAGTAGAGTATAGAGTAACGTGTAGACTGGAGAGAGTAGCGTATACAAAATAAAGATTAGCATGTAGAATGTAGAGCAGAAGAGTAGAATGTACAGAGACTCGTGTAGAGTCTTGTTTTGAGTAGCGTGTAGCGTGTAGAGAGTAGAATGTACAGAGACTCGTGTAGAGTCGTGTATAGAGTAGCGTGTAGAGAGTAGTGTGTAGAGTATAAAGAGTAGAGTGCAGAGTATAGAGATTATAGTGTGTAGAGTATAGAGTAACGTGTAGACTGGAGAGAGTAGCGCATAGAAAGTAAAGATTAGCATGTAAAATGTAGAGTAGAAGAGTAGAATGTACAGAGACTCGTGTAAAATCGTTCTTTCCTACTTTCCCTACACTGTAAAGTGTTCCTGATTGTATATTGTAAAGAGTAGCCTGTAGAAAATAGAGAGTAGAGTGTAAAAAGTAGAATAGTGTGAGGGAATTCCTGCGTGCGATAAGTGCAGTCTACATATAGTATTTGGTAGACCCTCAAATTAGGCCACACCTTCTAAAATTTCTCTTTTTACAGGGAGTATTGCTATCTCTGTCCGGTGGTGACGGGTACCGCAAAAACTTGCAAAGCAGAGAGGACGGTAAAATTCTGTTCACATCGTTGAGCCCCAGCGAATACTTCTTGCGTCCTATGATGAAAGAATACCAATTCGAACCGGCTTCCAAAATAATTCCAGTCAAAGAAGGAGAAACTGTCAACGTGCATTTGAGGTAACCGATCGATTTGAGCGAAGAATCTCGCATTTATTTACTGTATTTATATACAGTCTTCATTTACTCGGAAAAAGATCAAGAAACTCTACAATCCAAAATCAATAATGATCTAGAAACATTCTCCTCGTGGCTCTGTGCAAATAAATTACTGCTAAATGAAGAAAAAACTGTCTACATACAATTTAATTAAAGATCTATTTAATTAAAATTTAATTAAAGAAAATTAAATATCGATTAATGATTAATCAAATATCATTAGCAGGTACCCTAAATTTTTAGTTATTCTATAATTTACAGTGACATGAGTTCAATAAGTAAAATTCGCATAGTTCGTAGATGATGACATCATAGAGGTAACTAGATTAAATTAAAATTATAATTTTTTAAAGTTTAATTTAAAAATTACCAAATATTTCGGGTAGTTAATGATCGTTAATTAATCGATATTACATTTTCTACTATTATTTTGCAAAAAAGGTCGACAACATCATTGGTAATTAGATCAAAATGAAATTATAACATCAAAAATTGGACATTTTTTAATAAAATTATCTCTAAAGAAAATATCTCAGAAACGGTGACAGTTAGGTATAGGGAAATGTTATGAAAAAAGATTCAGTAAAAAAATAGACTTCCCATTGGATATTATTAATATAGGGTGTTCCATTTAAATTAAGCGAGTAATTATTATGTTTGCGTTTTGACTCACCCTGTATACAAATTGTAATTTTGTCAGAATGTAACTATTTTTTGTGAAAATAGACCATTTTCAAAAAGTGCTGACACAGAAAAATTCACATTATCTGATATAGATTCTGATATACAGGGCCTTGAAATCATGTCGATTTGAACATAAAAATGGCCATAACTTTTTAAATACTCAGTATAGTCATATGAAATCTTATATTGAGAAACTCGTGAATACGAGCTGAAATCGAATATGAAATAAAAAATATATCATTGCCTTTAAAAAAAGGTATGTTTGGTATGGCTTCGATTTATGGGCCACCCTGTATATTTCGAAATAATTTTAAATTATGCGCCTAAAGGTGCTTAACATTTTTTCCTATTTATCATTTTTTCGTATCTATTATAATAACTGAGTAAATGGGCTTTACCGCACTATTGGGACACCCTGTAGATATTAAGAATATACAAAATAAATGATAAGGTAAAGATCTAGAACTCTAGAAATCTAGTTAAAAATAAATGGAAGAAAATAAGCGATCGATTATTTGTTTCAATATTTCTTGACTTCAGTTTTAAATCTGTCCATCTTTTTTAAATTTCTCAAAGAACTTGGAAGTTCATTAAAGTTTTTAAAACAACTGTAGCTTGGTAAATTTCTGCCTTTTTCACATCTCACTTGATATTGAATTTCAATTCTGTCTGCATTTCTGGTGTTGTAGTTGTGGATTTGTGAAGTAATTGTTGGATTGATCGAGCTTTTTAGATATCCATTTTTTATCTTGAAGGTCAATTTACATTTTTTTAAGGCTGCTGTTTTGTTGATAGGTAAAATTGGTAGAGAAGCATATAATTCACTAGTTCTAGTTTCATATGGTATATTGTATGTATTTTTTATAGCTTTATTTTGCAATCTTTGAATTCTACCAACTCTACCAATTCTACCAGAATTCTACCAACTTCATGTTGTTTTGTAGTTTTATATGTACAAATAAAATAAAATTTGTTCGTTTTCCAGGGCGAAACGGGTAGCTTACAGCGCCTACGGGCAAGTGATGTCGTTGAACGGTGAGCCCGAAGTCGATATGATAATAGTCGCTCAAGGCGTCGGAAACTGCAGCGAATATTCCGAAGAGACCACTTGCGAATCTTCGGGGCACTTCAGAATAAGAGGATTGCATCCGTATTGTTCGTACAAAGTAACCGTGAAAGATGGACAAAACGATAATGTTGTAGTCGAACGATCGGCGCCCGAATTCGTTGAAATTAACGTAAGAAATTAATTCATCGGTGCCGGTTTAAGGTCGACACTTCGGGGTGTTTTTAAATGGGAAAACGTAGGTTCAGTAATTCCAGTATGATTGGCTTCATCAATTGATTTGAATCTTTCTTATACCTAATATAGAGACTCCAAGCAATGATGTCTCCTATTTTTAATCTCTTTTCAATCCTACTTTATTATTCAGTACTACAGCATTATACACTTCTATCGAAAAGTAGCAGCAACTTTGTTATTTTAAATGAGACACCCTGTATATTTTTACATTTTTTTGCTCCGCTATTGCTTTCCGATTATTTTTGTATAATACTTCCCTATACTTATCTTTAGTGCTTTTCGAGAAATTCATTATTTTATTTAATTTTTTATTCAAAACATAGCTCCAATTAAATGTTGATTACTGCGGTAATTAGATTAGGAGAAAGCTGAAATTTTGGGATTAGCTTACAGAAGGTATTAGTTCGCTATAAACGATTTTTTTTAATTTATACAGGGTTGTTTAAAAAATGTCATTTTATCGCAAGATATACAAATGCTAATAAGTTCATTTTTTTAAATGGGACATCCGGTATGTTCTTAAATATTCAAAAATATAATTAAATTCTCTTTTAAATGGTATATCATGTTCCTATACCTAAATAATCAGGTTTCTGAAATAAAATCAAATTTCTATAAAAATCTGATTAATTTAGCGAATTTGTATTAGGTAACTGTGAAATCACGAAATGTCCTCCAAATTTGATCGTGGTATGGAACGGATGTGTAAAAAATTTTAGTAGGATGAAAAATACTTATTACAGAACGATGTCTCCTAGTTTATATTGATCCACAGGCTGTATTAAATTAATAATAGTAATATAGAATTATTTTTGGTTAAATTTTTCCACAATAGATGGGATGAGATTAGTTTAACTCACTAGTAGACGTTCCGTGTTTGATTACACTTGACATAAAATTAAACGTACAAGAAAGTAAAATAAGAAATCCTTTTCAAAATATTTTAAATTCAATTCTTTTCCCTGCAATTTGAAACGATAAAAGTAGCGTTTTAAAAATACTCATTAAAGTGCTCTAAAAGTATTCCGGTGCACTGGAAATACTTTATTTTATATTACCTGCCCTTAAAAAACTGCAAATTATCTAAAAATATATGAAAAACGGAAACTACTGGCACCGCTGTCGCTAGTCAAATTTACAAAATTGTTCTGTGATTTGACATTTATGTCAGGCGACACCATCATTTACAGGAATCTATCATCATCATTTGCTAAAATACTTTAATTAGTTTTTTTTCAATTTAATACAGCCTGTGGATCAATATAAACTAGGAGACATCGTTCTGTAATAAGTATTTTTCATCCTACTAAAATTATTTACACATCCTTTCGAGGAAACTCGAGTCCTACTAGAATTTACGTTTTGCCATTTGCAAGTAAATGGCAGTTTTTGATTTCAATTTATTAAATATACTGCTCCACAAAAGTTAAGGAAGTTGACAAATATTGAGATTAATTTAAAAGTTTTTTGATCGCCAAATTTATTATGAATTGTAGATGTAGGGGCAAAAAATCCACTTAGATATAAGAGATAACATTTAATTTCGCATAATATTTAAAAATTTGGTGATCAAAAAGTCTGTAACTTTTAAAATAATCGCCAAATTTGCGAACTTTCTTAACTTTTGTGAAGCAGTTTATTCAATGAAATAGGAGATATTAAAAATAGGAGATTTCATTGCTTGGAGTCTCTATATTAGATATAAGAAATATCCAAATCAATTGATGAAGCCAAATTTTAATCTTACTGGAATTACCGAACCTTTACTTTCCCATTTAAAAATACCCTAAAGTGGCGCCCTTAAGCATTATTTCTGGTACAAAGTATAACATCGGCAGTGTTGTTAACTAATTAATTACAAGTAATTGAAAAAGAAATTGAATTACTTTTATTGTAATTGAGGCGGTAATTAATTACAAGATCCTCAATTGTAATTCATTTGTAATTCAATTACTCCTTTCGTTAAAATTACAATTACATTTCAATTACATTGGACACAAAAGTACTTATTTAATATTTTCAATACGTGGAAAGTTTAATTCCGATTGCAAACCCCTAAATAATTATTTAAAACTGACACCAAAGCAAAATAATTGTGATTGTAATTGTAACTTTAATTGTAATTGTAATTACATTCGCAAATTTTGTAATTGTAATTGCAATTAATTACAATTTGCCAAAAGTAATTGTAATTGTAATTAATTACATATTATAAAGTAATTTTAACATCACTGAACATCGGTAACTCCATAAACAACTCAATAAATTTTACCTATTCAAGCCAAAAAAAAAAAATCAATTCCTTCCGTTTGATTCCCAGAGCGTAACCAGCGACACGACCGGCCTCAAACTAGTCGTCTTTCGGCCAGCCACCCACATGGATATACTCGTCAAAATCCACGCAGACAACGTCGAACACTACAAATCCCTCAAAGTGAAGCTAACCAGAGAGCTCGGCTCGCCCGCCGTCCTCCACACGGCCAAAATCGACGCCTCCTCCCTCAAAATCACCAACCCCATCAACCCGGGGCTGCTGCTCCACCTGCCGCCCGTCCCCGTCGACGGCAAGCCCTACTCCCTGCAGCTCGAGTCCGGCCTGCAGGCCGCCAAGCAGCAGGTCCACTTCTTCGCCGCCGACGAGTCGTTCAAGTACTTCGAGTTCGAGTTCCGGCCGAAGGACGGCGCGTCGGAGCAGCGCATCAAGCAGACATCGCCGTGGAGCCTGGTGTTCATCTTCGCTATCTTGGTGGGCGCCTACAACGTCGAGCTGGTGGCGAACTTCCTCAGCGACCGGTTCAATTTCAACGCGAGCTCGCTGGCTAGTTTGGTGTCGATGCCCGGCGCGGGCGCCAAGCCGGCGCCGGATTATTTCGATGACGCGCACATCGATCAGATCGTGCAGAGTATTAACAATGCCAAGAAGAAGCCGAAGCCTAAGAAGCTGAAGATTTGAAGTGGGCGTTTCGTTGGTCGAATGTTTTAAGGAAATTTCTGCATTTTTTTTTTTCAGTAATTTATGTTTGCCCGATGGATGGTTGTAGCAAATTGTTGATATTTGAAATAAACCCATGTTATTAATGTTTGCTTTTATTGCATAGTAGGCACAATCGATGTCGCTGGATAGAGGGAAAAATCTTTATGTTTAATTTACGAAGACCATCCATTTGGGTGTACCCAGTGTTGTTAAGTAATTAATTACAAGTAATTGAAAAAGTAATTGAATTACTTTTAGTGTAATTGAGGCGGTAATTAATTACAAGTTCCTCAATTGTAATTCATTTGTAATTCAATTATTCCGTTCGTTACAATTACAATTACATTGGAGAAAAAAGTACTTATTTAATATTTTCAATACGTGGAAAGTTTAATTCCGATTGCAAATCCCTAGCCAGGCAGTCAGGGTATATACCTGCTTGGATTAAAGTTTAAAGCATATTCTATAAGATTTATATATTCTATTAATATCTTGTTTCCATCAAAAGGTTAATGAGGTTTTTAGGAATATGTACCTAAATAATTATTTAAAATGACACCAAAGCAAAGTAATTGTGATTGTAATTGTAATTACATTCGCAATTTTTGTAATTGAAATTGCAATTAATTACAATTTGCCAAAGGTAATTGTAATTGTAATTAATTAAATATTATAAAGTAATTTTAACATCACTGGGTCTACCCAATAAGTTACATCTGGTAAATGTGATGTACAGGGTGTTAATAAATTAAGAAAACATGAAATTGCTTCAAGTACGTGAAGTATCGTTATTATTTTACATCATATTTTTATAATACTAATGAGTAATTAAAACAAAACCGCTGGCATAAATCAAATCGGTGAATTGGAAAATTGTATTTAGTTCTTGCTTATGGTTACAAAGAAGTTTATATTATTAGAGATAAATGATAAAAGTTATAATTTTAATTTGAAATTTGTTTAATAATGATACTTTTGTAGATTTTAATGCGGCACACTTAATATCCTAACAGGAATTTTTATTAAGAAATAATTTTCTGCATAAAATTAAAAATACCGATTTTTTCCTCTCGCCAATTTCATTCACACACTGTATCGAGAAATTTAATGATATTTTAATATAAAAATCTGATGGATTCAAAATAAGAAGTAATAAATCGAAGCTATCAAAATTTTGGAATATCATCACTGTATGAGGTTCCCGAGAGTCCCCCTTTGATGAGTTATTTCCAGGGAAAACTTTGCTAACATTTCAATGCAATTTGTAAAATTTGGGACGTCAGGAGAGCAGGAAGCTCGAGACGATCAAATAATAGCAGTTTTGTCGATAGTACGAAAATTTCACTCACGCTAAGCAAGACTTGGAAATGTATTAGGAGAGCAAAATGTGCTAGGAGGTTTGTCCCTGATACTTTTTACTACTCCCGCGCTCCTGATACATCATTATTTACAAAATAGTCGACCAGAATTACATTTATCGCCAGAAAATCGATTTATAGACACTAATAGGTAGGCGACCAATGTATCTACGAAAGACCTGATGGTATACAGTGTGTCCCAGATTCGCTTCTCTATACAGTGATCTCAGCTCATATTATGCCAAAAGACAACAAAATATGATTGAGACCATGTCATACACGCTATCTTATTCGTCTTAATAAGACATGTCTTTTAAAAACTTATTCACATTTACCTCTAACAATGAAACAAAAATATATAATTACGCCTTCTGGATTTTTCACAAAGGCCTATACCGACTTCTGTGGACTTATTATTAAAATATTTAATTATTTAATATTATTATTGAAGTAATTATTCCTACTGCAAGTGCGATTCCTATTTAAAAATGACAATATACAGGTTGCTCCATTAGACACTTATAAAGGAAAAGGAGAGAGTGACATTTGTGTCATTGCAACTTTTCACTCTGACAACTGTCATTTTAATAATCTTTCTTTGTTCCACTCATAGAAATGACCATGTTGCAATCGGAAATGGAGAAAGGTGTATATTGATCGTACTCGTAACTTGTGGCAAATTATTCATCCAGACAAGCTGCTATCTTAGCTCTCTTCACCAAAGCAATGGTTAAAACAAAAAACAAGCACCCAAGCTTGCATTGCAGTAAATGGGAACAATTTTGAACATCTTGTATAAGTAATTGAAATCAACTTCTCTCTCTTTGAGAAATTTCAAAAAAAGTGTAATAAAAGTCATACAGAAATAAAATTATAAACCCGAGTTTCAATAAAAAATTGAAAAATAAATACTGCATTTCGCGTTCATAATTTCGCCTTAATACTTTACTGTAGCAAATGTAGCACCAAAACAATCGTTAAAACAAAAAAAACAAGCACCCAAGCTTGCATTGCAATAAATGGGAACAATTTTGAACATCTTGTGTAAGTAGTAATTGAACTGTTAAACTATTATTTTATTATCTCGATTTCTGTAAGACTTTTATTACATTTTCTTTGGGAAATTAACTTCTCTCGTAACAGTGCATATGTGGTTAAAATTTGTCGGATAAGTTGTGAAACACCCTGTATAAATGATTTGAAATTTTTGAGATCTTCCTTTTCTAATTCCCTCGACAGTGTTGAACTTACTCTCTTGTCTCTTCTCAACATCCAGGGTCTTGTCAACATTCGTTTTGGCCTTCGTATTTCATTTTCAATCTTCTCAATTTTCGTACTGAGATTTTTCAAAAATAAAACTATTGCATATTCTAGTTTTTAAAAACCTAAATCGGTTTACAAGAACAGTAATTCTGGTTGTCTATGAGAAAAAATGACAATTGACATGGAACGTTTTTTGTATCGGTTCGACGTTCATCCGGCAGCTATCCTTCTTTAATTAGAACTAACCGCAGTAACTTTTCTAACATGAAATTATGTGTGGTTTTCAATAAATTAAAAATCAGTTTAAATTCAATTTAATAAATACCTTTTCTTATTATACACGTCTGATAATATTTACCATCTTCCAACATCTTCCACAATCTTCCAACGGTGTAATTTTCTTTAAAAAATCTAACTAACAAATTTCCACTCATTAACTCTAACAAGAACTTGATAGAACGTGCAATCTTTCATTTAAATCAATTAATTGGAATGGAAAATTGTATTTAATTCTTGCTTATGGTTACAAAGAAGTTTATATTATTAGAGATAAATCATTATAATTTTAATTTGAAATTTGGTATTGACGTATAATTTAAATGAAAATAACTTGTTTTAATTAAATTTTGCATTATTTAATAATGATACTTTTGTAGATTTTAATACGGCAAACTTATTTTTTAGACGAATAGGACTTTTTATAAAGAAATAATTTTCTGCATAAAATAAAAAATGCCGATTTTTCTCCTCTCGTCAACTTCTTTGTTAAGTTATGTGAAGTGAGTTATGTAAGCTTTTGTGAAGTTATGTGTGGTTTTCAAAAATTAAAATTTAGTTTAAATTCAATATAATAAATACCTTTTCTTATTATACACGTCTGATAATATTATCCCAATTTCTGATAATATTATAATATCTTCTAACGGTGTAATTTTCTTCAAAAATCTAACTAACAAATTTCCACTCATCAACTCTAGCAAGAACTTGCATAGAACATGCAATCTTTCATAATTTAAATCAATTAATTAACATTTTTTATCTTTACGATTTTATGAGTGTTTTTTCGAGAATATTTAACACGATATTACCAAGACATTAGATACATTTAAAGAAACTATAATAATTAGATTTAAATTACACCGACATCCCTTCTTGTTTATGTTACGTTCTGTGAAGTTTAGGGCGAAAGAGAGCCATCTGTGGTCGTCGCGGGAACAACGCCAGGCGAAGCGCGATTGGATCCCATCGCAAGAGTGGGAGAACCGCCACATGGACCTCTTTTCGAAACTTTTCTTCGGCTCTTTCATTACATTTTTCGCTCTCGCCGCGGCCACCACGCAACACCAACCGATCTCGCTTGCGTTGCCGCGCCGATTCGAATTCAAATCGCAATCGACCACCACCATGCCGAATTGACCGCTTCGTCGGCGAATATTCCTTTCGAAATCGAAGATTTTACCGGGCAACGCGATGGGCGAGCCGGGCCCGCAGGGCGACCAGAACGTCGAGTACCACTTGATCCAGATTTTCGAGAAATTGGAATCGATGCGATCGGAGGCGGCGAGGCCTTCGGACGGTTTCAAAATGCCGCTGCAAGTGGAAATCCGCACCATCGAGTTTTGGCGGTCGGTGATTTCGGAGTGCTTGTCTTCGTTTATATATGTTTTCGTTGTTTGCGGGGCCGCCGCCGGCGCTCCGGGGGCGCCTTTCTCCTCGGTACCGCTGCCCACGGCCTTGGCTTCGGGATTCGCGATGACGTCGCTCACACAGTGCTTCGGACACATTTCTGGTATGTTCCCGTATATTCCCTCTACCTTTTTTTTATAACAACAAAAATACCTATTTATATTGCAACTCGGAATTTAAGAATGATTTTTTTTGAGTACCTAAACTGTTTAACACAAAAGTTGAGGAAGTTCGCAAATTTTGCGATTATTTTAAAAGTTACAGACTTTTTGATCACCAAATTTTTAAATATTATGCGAAATTAAATGTTATCTCTTATATCTAAGTGGATTTTTTGCCCCTACATCTAATTGTAAAATGTAATTGTAATTTTAACGAAAGGAGTAATTGAATTACAAATGAATTACAATTGAGGATCTTGTAATTAATTACCGCCTCAATTACAATAAAAGTAATTCAATTTCTTTTTCAATTACTTGTAATTAATTACTTAACAACACTGCCGATGTTATACTTTGTACCAGAAATAATGCTTAAGGGCGCCACTTTAGGGTATTTTTAAATGGGAAAGCAAAGGTTCGGTAATTCCAGTAAGATTCAAATTTGGCTTCATCAATTGATTTGGATATTTCTTATATCTAATATAGAGACTCCAAGCAATGAAATCTCCTATTTCATTGAATAAACTGCTTCACAAAAGTTAAGAAAGTTCGCAAATTTGGCGATTATTTTAAAAATTACAGACTTTTTGATCACCAAATTTTTAAATATTATGCGAAATTAAATGTTATCTCTTATATCTAAGTGGATTTTTTGCCCCTACATCTACAATTCATAATAAATTTGGCGAACAAAAAACCTGCAACTTTTAAATTAATCTCAATATTTGTCAACTTCCTTAACTTTTGTGGAGCAGTATATTTAATAAATTGAAATCAAAAACTGCAATTTACTTGCAAATGGCAAAATGTAAATTCTAGTAAGACTCGAGTTTCCTCGAAAGGATGTGTGAATAATTTTAGTAGGATGAAAAATACTTATTACAGAACGATGTCTCCTAGTTTATATTGATCCATTGGCTGTATTAAATTGAAAAAAAAACTAATTAAAGTATTTTAGCAAATGATAATGATAGATTCCTGTAAATGATGGTGTCGCCTGACATAAATGTCAGTTCGCAAATTTTGCGATTATTTTAAAAGTTAGAGACTTTTTGATCGTCAAATTTTCAAATATGCTTTGGTGGATGTGGAAAGTTTATAATACATATGAAGGGTACAGGGGAAGAACGACAATAGTCCATCCAAAAGATTTTCGAGAAACATAAAAAGTTTACTTACTTGTTAGAAAGTGAAATTTAAAAGGTGTATCTTTTAGCTGTTGTTTTGCGGATTTCAACAATTTTTACCATTTACCATTTTACCAAATTGCTATAAAAATAAATTGTGAACATAATTTTGCAAAAAAAATGGACTATTGTCTTTTTTTTCCCTGTAGCCTTCATATAATAAGCAATCTAGCGAAATTAACAAAACCTCTGTCAGCAAATAATATCGATTGAAAATACAGTAACTTGCGCGTTTTTATAAAAAAAATATTAACAGGTGTCAAGTTTAAAACATTTTATTAATATTTTTATCCTGCCTGCCTGATGATATTGTGCTATTGAAGCACCCTGGTAATAACGGATAACGAGCCTAAATCTATTGAATTTTATGAATACTCTTTATCTCTTAATTGGTTGCAATTAAAACTATTAATTAGGACTTTTTTAACGAGTACCCGGCTATTCCCGAGAGCGAATTAGTGTATACGTTTACAATTGCTCAATTGCTCGTTTATTTCACTAACCAGCAGATGAAAGGGATTAGTTCTTTTTATTATTTTGTTTGAAATATTTTTATTCGGCTTGGTCACGAGAAAATATACAGGGCGTTAATTAATAAATGCGACAAACTTCAGAGGATGATTCTGTACGAAAAAAATAATGATATTTTGTTATATGAAGATATGTTCACAAATGCTTCGTTTTCGACATACGGGGTGTTAAAGTTTCTTCTTAAAAACCGAAGATTTATTTATTTCTCTGAAACCAGACGAGATATTCAAATGAAATTTGGTGGGTTTTATAATACATGTTTTTAAAGAAAAAAATATTGGTACGCCACTGAGGCATTTTTAATGATGTTTCAATTATGAATGAATTTCTCGTTCAATTTGTGACAAAAAACTGTTGTTTTTTTTCGTACGGGCCGCTGTTTAACCCCCTGTATATAAGAAACTTGGTTGATTTGTTAACAAACTAACTAACTTACAAAGCCAAAAATTTTTCGAAGAAAAAAATAATATTGGTACGCCACTGAGGCATTTTTATTGAAAATTCTATTATGAATGAATTCCTCGTTCAATTTGTGACAAAAAAACTCCCTTGCGTTTTTTTCGTACGAGCCGCTGTTTTCGAGTAAAAAAATAAAACATCCTGACGTGTATTTTTCATTTCTTCAATACAATTATCTAGTAGTGAAGAAACATTAACACCCCGTATCTCGAAAACGAAGCATTTGTGAACATATCTTTCTATAACAAAATATCATCATTTTTTTATGCAGAATCACCCCCTGAAATTTGTCGCACTTCTTAATTAACGCCCTGCATAAAAAAACAAGAATTTACTCCATTCGCCCCCCTTCCGAATATATTTCGAAACAAACTTTTATTATTTATTATTCAATTCCAGGCGCTCATGTAAATCCCGCCGTGTCCTTGGCGATGGGGCTGATCAAGAGGATATCCATCCTGCGAGCTGTCATGTTCGTCCTGGCCCAATGCGGGGGAGGCATAGCGGGGGCGGCGTTTTTGTACGGGTAAGCAGCGATATAATCCTTTAAAAAATCATCTTACCGCTATCTGGGCTCGGTAAAGGTACCCAATTTCCGATCGTTTTAAATTGTACAACCGGGACTTAAAGTGTTCATTTCGATGAAATGCAAAAAGAAGTACAAAGTGGGCCGCTAATTTCCGAAATAAATCCGCACCAAACACGAATGAATGCGAATGCGAGCGTAACGAAACTGATGTTATAGTCCATTCGCGGAACTGGTCGAATTAATTATAAATAAAATCGAAAATAATGCGTGTATTCGAATTGTACAAAACGTTGTTTGGTGCTAGAAAGCTGTAAATTCTTTTAACAAAAATTAATCGACCCGTTCAGTGCAATTGACCCGAATTCTGGGCGAAACTTTTTCTCCGAAGTAAGCACAGCGAATGGACTATTTATTAGTCCCAGCGTCAAGGGACAGAGAGAGAGAGAGAGAGAGCCTTCTTTTCGAGCGATAAGCAAGTCGGAAGACCTAAAGTAGGTAAATACTGTTACCATCTGCTTTTATCGAATGAAAAGGACCGAAAGGCAAGATCGAGACGGACTCTAGTTAGTTTTCAGTTGCCACCTGCTCTTTTCAGCTGTTGCGATATAAACATTCCATTCGCATTCGCTCGCCCTCGTGCGTTGCGCACTATACAGGGTGTTCAGTTAGCGCTCGTACAGCTACTTTTAAGGGCGCTAATTTTGAGAGGAAAACTTCAGTTGAATCGAAATTGTTTCGAATAACTCTTGCAAATTTTTTGTTTGTATTTTTGAGATGAGAAATCAAAATTTGGTTGTTATTCTTATGTATCTAGCACTTAGAGGGATATCAAATTAATTTAAATAAAAAAGATATCTAAATTAAAATTTACCATAGGTATTTGATAGAGTAGACTTTTGGAATTTTTTATTTAAATCTTCTTTAAATCTGTATTTTCGATAATAAATTCGATAGTAAAATTTTGGTGAATTTTTTGTTTGTATTTCTGAGATGAGATATTAAAATTTGGTTGTTATTCTTATGTATCTAGCACTTAGAGGGATATCAAATTAATCTAAATAAAAAAGAGGGTATCTAAATTAAAATTTACCATAGGTATTTGATAGAGTGAACTTTTGGAATTTTTTATTTAAATCTTTAAATCTGTATTTTCGATAATAAATTCGATAGTAAAATTTTGGTGAATTTTTTGTTTGTATTATTGGGATGAGAAATCAAAATTTGGTTGTTATTCTTATGTATCTAGCACTTCGAAGAATATCTTATTAATCTAAATTAAAAAGGGGGTATCTAAATTAATATTTACCATAGGTATTTGACAGAGTGAACTTTTAGGAATTTTTTATTTAAATCTTCTTTAAATCTATATTTTCGATAATAAATTCGATAGTAAAATTTTGGTGAATTTTTTGTTTGTATTTTTGAGATGAGAAATCAAAATTTGGTTGTTATTCTTATGTATCTAACACTTAGAGGGATATCAAATTAATCTAAATAAAAAAGGGGGTATCTAAATTAATATTTACCATAGGTATTTGGTAAAGTGAACTTTTGGAATTTTTTATTTAAATCTTTAAATCTGTATTTTCGATAATAAATTCGATAGTAAAATTTTAGTGAATTTTTTGTTCGTATTTTCGAGATGAGAAATCAAAATTTGGTTGTTATTCTTAAGTATCTAACACTTAGAGGGATATCAAATTAATCTAAATAAAAAAGGGGATATCTAAATTAATATTTACCATAGGTATTTGGTAAAGTGAACTTTTAGGAATTTTTTATTTAAATCTTCTTTAAATCTGTATTTTCGATAGTAAAATTTTAGTGAATTTTTTGTTTGTATTTTTGAGATGAGAAATCAAAATTTGGTTGTTATTCTTATGTATCCAGCACTTCGAGGGATATCAAATTAATCTAAATAAAAAAGGGGGTATCTAAATTAATATTTACCATAGATATTTGATAGAGTGAACTTTTGAAATTCTTTATTTAAATCTGTATTTTCGATAGTAAATATTTATTGACACATGTTTAGATATATCAACTTTTCATCTCAAGTTTTTTGTACATGTACTTAATAAACACCCTGTATACAGAGTGACGCTGCAAATTTCCTCCAAATCCATTCAACGATGATACTTTACATAAACGTAATTTGATTATTATTATATTAATATTATTATTAAAATCCTTGGATTTAAATGATTTTTGCGATGTCGAATCGAGCTGAAAAATCGACCCAACTGTCCGTTGAAAGGACGAGCGCTCGACGCAGGACGTGTAATTTGAGGCAAATAAAAGGCCGAAAGATTTTTTTTTCTACCATCTACCTGCGTGCGATGCATTATTGGAACTACCTGGATTGTGTTTTCAATGCGGAGGAAGACGAATATAATGGCGGCCGCCCATCTGTCCTTTTACCGCTAAGGATGTGTTTAAATGAACCATTCTACATGCAGATATATTTAGTATAGGTGCTTTTTCTTTGTATTTGCAATGCGTAAATGACACACGCAACGCGCTGGTGATTTGTTTGGGCGATTTCGATATCGAATGAGGAAACAACCCTTAAAAAGATCTCATTAGGACGAGAAGATTGTTTTAGTAAAACCAGAGGATTTTTCCGAAGGGTAGAAATTAAACGTCCGACAATTTAATGATTTTTGCAGGTCAAGAAATTCTAAATGTTCGATAAGGAAAGTTCTTATACAGAGTGTTCCTAAGCATCGTGTACATCCGAAAGTGGGTGATTCCTTGGTATATTTTATGACTAAAAGTTCATATAAACATGGGTCCGCAAACGCTTCGTTACCGATCTACAGGGTGTTGAAATTTCAAGTTTTTTTTGTTTCTTCTTTAGAGCTCCTGCAGTTTTTGAGATATTTAGCTCAAATTAGGTATAGGATATAGGGTATAGAGTATAATTTGAGTAGGAGGGGGTCACTTTCAACATTTATTATAATGTAATTTAATAGTTGTTATTTACGGTTTTTGTTTTGTAAAATAAATCATTTGTACAGAAAATCATTTTTAATGTTTTTCTCGATAGTGGTCACAAAAACGAAAAAAGTTTAAAAATAAAAAAAGTTTCTTAATAAAACAGACAATTAATTTTGTATTTTAGAATCTACCAGCGGCGCACAACAAAAAAGTTCGGGGGGAAAAGGATACATGACCCCTTAAAAAATATCGCCCTGTAGAATTCAACAACCATCTGACATACCCAATAATGTGTGTTCTATAAATAAGCAATTTAGATACAAAATTTGAGTTAAATATCTCAAAAAGTGCAGGAGCTACAAAGAAAAGGAACACCCTGTATAATAAAATGTACAATTTGCATACTAAAGTATGCACATTCAAGTCGAATGCATTGAATCTTTTTGCAGAAAAAAATGGTACACCACTGCTTAATATTAAAATAATTATTATTTTTTGGAGGCCCCGTTCGATTTAGAACAAATTTGATTTCTTGACTTTTTTACTTGCAATTACTCAAAATGCATTTTTTGAGTAATTTTTGCATATTTTGAGAGTTTTATGCGAATTGGATATTTTGAGTAATTTTTGCATACTTTGATAAACATTAAATACTAAGACTTTGTAACAAATAAGTAACAAAAATGATCAAAAAATGTTGAAAAAGTTTCAAACTTTTAGTCGTAGTTAAAAAATTTCATGAAAAAATGGGCATTAGAAGTCAGTTTGAAAAATATTGATGCACTTAATTCACCTTTTGATGCAAATTTTCATAAGAATTTGGAAAAAATAGTGAAATGTGAAAAATGTGAAAAGGACCATTTGACAAAAATTTTTAAAAAAGGGATTAAAAAACGTGAAATTTTCATGAAAAATGAGCAAATGGAACCTTTCAATGCAAATTTCATAAAAATGACCCTTTGATAAAAATAAAAATCATTAAAAATAGCGAAAAATGGGATTACAAAAGGTAAAATTTTCCTGAAAAAATTAGCGGTATCTTCTGTTGTAAATTTCATAAATATTGCAAAAATGAGAATGAAAATTATGAAAAGTAAGTCTAAATACATAATACAATGATGCATAAATCTTTTTATTTTTACATATTTTTAGTATATTTTATTAAAATATCACAATTGCCCATACCTATTTGGTCAAAATAAAATGCATTTACATAAATAAATCAACTTAAAAAAATCTAATTAGCATTAAAAATAAAATACCATCAGTCACTATCTGTTACAGCGAATAAACGAACTATGTATATGCTCAAAATTTTAAATCATTCCTTAAAACTAAATCCACAAAATTATGTGGACAATATATTGCAACAATATAAATATATAAATAAAATAAAAACAATATATTGCACCGCTTAAAAAGGCTCAATGCACGATTGCAATATTTAAAAAATCGTTGCAATAAGAATTATTGCATCGCTTACGTGTAAAATCTACGCATTTGAACGCTTGCATTTTAACTGCAAACGAACTATGCTCAAAATTTTCAATCATTCCTTAAAACTAATCCACAAAATAATGTGGACAATATATTGCAACAATATAAATATATAAATAAATTAAAAACAATATATTGCACCGGTTAAAAAGGCTCAATGCACGATTGCAATATTAAAAAAAACGTTGCAATAAAAATTATTGCATCGCTTACGTGTGAAACCTACTCATTTTAACTGCAAACGGACTATGGTCAAAATTTTCAATCATTCCTTAAAACTAATCCACAAAAGATTGTGGATAATATACTGCAACAATATAAATATATGAATAAAATAAAAACAATATATTGCACCGCTTAAAAAGGCTCAATGCACGATTGCAATATTAAAAAAAATCGTTGCAATAAAAATTATTGCATCGCTTACGTGTAAAGTCTACTCATTTTAACTGCAAACGAACAATGCTCAAAATTTTCAATCATTCCTTAAAACTAATCCACAAAATAATGTGGACAATATATTGCAACAATATAAATATATAAATAAAATAAAAACAATA